TTCTGTCTCTGATTGAGAGTTTAGAGGTTTATTCAGTCGAAGCTCTTTCAGTGTAATTCTGGAGCTGGAGCTTCTCGTGTCAAATCTTGACTGATTTTTATCAAGTAAACGTCAGAATAATATCTCCAGATGAACACTTACTGGACTGAAGCAGCTCAGCTTTACTTGATTCTCCATCAATCATGTTTTAGAGTCTCAAATCTGATCCTCAGGATGTTTTGAGGAGCGTTTGTTTCCAGAAGCTTTACTTTCACTGTTCCTCAGCGGAGGAATGATCTTCACAAGCCTCCAGAACATCTCACATCTTCTGAGGAGCCTTTATTTCTTCAGCTCTCAATCACTGCATTATATGTTTGGAGCATTTCAATCTCATTTTACTGAGACATATTATTGGAGATATAGAGCGACCACTGATATTTAGATCAGTTTATGTAAGTATAGATCTCATTGATTTACATTACAAGCAGCAGAATTTCATCATTTAAATATCAGCATCTGCAACAAATTGCATATTTTTGCTCATTTTGGGCCTCTGAATAAAACTGAGCTCCATTTTCTCACTATATCATATTATATGAGTCATAAAAGCCTGATAGATCAAATATGATTCTCAACAAAAACACATGCAAACTTTATTTTTTTTTTGGATTATTCTATTATTTCATGTGTCAGGCTTTAAGGGGTTAAATATGCTCAGTGTTGATATATGCAATATATTGCTAAAACCAATTTAAAAAAAATTGTTATTGGAGAAAAAATTTAATAAAATGAAATATAAAAATTTTTATCTTTTTATTTCGTCTAGTTGCACAGGCAACATTTCTCATTTTAATTTAGTTGTACTAAAATAAATAAAACTGAAATAAAATTTAAAACATTTTTAAAAAAAGGCTTGTAAAAAAACAGAAATAGTAAAATAACAAAACAAAATTACAAAAAATATAAAAATGAATAAAACAAAATATTAAAGAGTACAAAGAATTAAATATTAGAAAGAATAAAAAGTCAAAATATGAATAAAAACCATAATAGTATCATAATAATAGGCTACTACAATAACAATTTAGTTGATGTTCTATCCTGCAAAACAAAAAAACTAAAACATACTTAATGGCCATTTTTATTTCATTTTAGTTGGTTTTGAAGCAATTCAGGACTGTGTTAATTTTTTTTTTTCATTCTTATGTTTTGAATTTAAAATTAGATTTTTATTTATAAGGTCATATTTTAAAATATTCACCTTGCTGATGGCAGTGCAAATAGACGATTTCCTCCAGACGAATGGTCATGGCATAATCCCAATATACACTGTGGAGAAATGAGACTTGATTTACAATCATTCCCACAAAGCAGACGTCACAATCATAACACACGTCACCTTTTCTCATAATCAAACTCCCCCATGTTTCCGTTCATCAGCTGGTTCGGTGTCCATTTGAGTGTCATCAGATCGGCCGTCTGATGAAGAGAGAGGTATCCTAGGATTGCTTCCATGTCGTCTGTCTGAAAGACCGCATGAGATTTATTGCCACACTTTAATTAAAGCACCACAGCATCGTCACGCACGTCTAAGTAACGTTTACCGGCTGCACCAAGACGTTGTTTTTCCCGAAGAGCAGCGTGGCTCTGGAGTTTTGATGAAGAGATTGGACGTAATCCCGCGCCCACAGAGACGGTCGGTCATCCATGCTGCCGCTCGACTGCCTCTTCTGGATCTACAGAACAACACGCACTGATCTCACTGCCGTCGAACAGAGATATTACTCTCATATGCATGCTTTTTGATTTGAGAAATGAACACTGCATGATCGCATGGACCTAATCCAGGCATTACAGTTGCTTGCACACATTTTCAAAACGTTGCCTCTTTTTTTCAAAACTTTACACACAAATCTGAGAGTTGCACACACAAAATGCAAAATGCCTCACTCATCTCTTGCAAAATGAAGCAATGCATTCAAAATATCACACACGCATCTCAAAAGCAAACATTTGCAAACACCTTTGCCGTAATAATTCCTGTTAGATTTCTGCGTGTTACATAGAGAATTGTGTGTTGTGTTTTGCAAAAAGTGTAATATGTGAGCCTGGAGCACAAAAGCAGTCTTAAGTCGCTGGGGTATATTTGTAGCAATAGCCAACAATACATTGTATGGGTCAAAATTATACATTTTTCTTTTATGCCAAAAATCATTAGGATATTAAGTAAAGATCATGTTCCATGAAGATATTTAGTAAGTTTCCTACCATAAATATATCAAAAAATGATATGCATTGCTAAGAACTTCATTTGGACAACTTTAAAGATGATTTTCTCAATATTTAGATTTTTTTGCACCCTCAGATTCCAGATTTTCAGATAGTTGTATCTCGGCCAAATATTGTCTGATCCTAACAAACCATACATCAATGGAAAGCTTAGTTATTCAACTTTCAGATGATGCATAAATCTCAATTTCGAAAAATTGACCCTTATGACTGCATTTGTGCTCCAGGGTCACATATGAAGAGTCAAAGGCCAAGAATTGGCGTGTGCTTCTGCTGTTTGAGTCTCAGCTTTCAGAAATTGTGAGACAAGGAAAGATTTTGTGTGTAAGCAGTTGAGAAAAGCTGTAACTGCAGGGCATCTTACGAGAGCCGGGCGTTTGGTGGGGGAATCCTGGCGGCAGTGTCCGCTGTGAATGCGGTGTCTCTGCACCAGTTCATCAGCCGACGGATCCGTCCAGAAATGATTGGCCGTCTTGGCTTTTGTGTACTCCAAAGCACAGGGACCGACTGAAAGACACACAGCGTACGGAAAAACATCAGCGGAATTAATCTTGCCCTCAATGCATCATCATATCCCAATTATACAAAAATATACAGTACAATTAAAATGATCATTAATTTACTTTTTAAAATAAATATATAATTACATATATATACATATAGCAAAATATATTTAATTATATTTGTAACCATATAAACTACTATTCAAAAGTTTGGGGTCAGTACTTTTGTTTTTTTTATGAAATAAATTAATATTTTTATTCAGCAAGGATGCATTAAATTGATCAAAAGTGACATTAAAGACATTTATAAAGTTACAAAAGATTTCTATTTCAAATAAATGCTGTTCTTTTGAACTTTCTATTCATCTGTGAATTGTGAAAAAATAAAATGTCACCGTTTCCACAAAATATTGGGCAGCACAACTGTTTTTATCGGTTGATAATTGATCATTGATAATAATCAGAAATGTCTCAAATCAGCATATTAGACTGATTTCTGAAGATCATGTGACACTGAAGACTGGAGTAATGATGCTGAAAATTCAGCGCTGCATCATATAAATAAATTACAGTTTAACAGATATTCACATAGAAAACAGCTGTTTTACATTGCAATAATATTTCACAATTTTACTGTATTTTTATAAAATAATGCAGCCTTGGTGAGCAGAAGAGACTTTTTTTTTAAATCCCAAACTTTTGAATGGCAGTGCATATATAATCTTCAGGGGTTTTTTTCCCCCAAAAAAATTACAAGACACAAATGCTTGAAAACTGATACCAAGCAAAGATGCGAGGATTGGGCCGTCAACTGGATCTCTCAGCAGAGCTTCTCTTTCATAAAACTTGCTGAAATATGAATAAAAACAGCTCAGTTTAATTTCATTCATTCAAATGAATCTATGTTCATAGTAACATACTACATGCCTAGTTTGCATGTTTTCCATTTCCAGTGTAACAAACTAAGTGTAACTGGAGGCCTGATTTCAAACACCTCCCTTTATGTCTCATTATTTGATTTGACTGCCCATGAACTATGAAATATGTACACAAAACTGGACTAAGTATGCAAAATAATAGTTTTTATTTGTAACCTGGAGCACAAAAGCAGTGTTAAGTCGCTGGGGTATATTTGTAGCAATAGCCAACAATACATTGTATGGGTCAAAATTATCCATTTTACTTTTATGCCAAAAATCATTAGGATATTAAGTAAAGATCATGTTCCATGAAGATATTTTGCAAATTGCCTACCGAAATATATCAAAACTTAATTTCTGATTAGTAATATGCATTGCTAAGAACTTAATTTAAACAACTTTAAAAGATGATTTTCTCAATATTTAGATTTTTTTGCACCCTCAGATTCCAGATTTTCAAATAGTTGTATCTCAGCCAAATATTGTCCTATCCTAACAAACCATACATCAATGGAAAGCTCGTTTATTCAGCTTTCAGATGATGTATAAATCTCAATATTGAAAAAATTGACACTTAAGACTTTTGTGGTCCAGGGTCACATATAATCACATTCCTAATTGAACCCCCTCTTGTCAAAAAGTGCATTTTTTATACTTTTCTCTTTTAATCATGCCCGTTTGATGGATAGAAAGTAATGCAATTTAAAAAGTGAAATCAAAACATCATTCTCTTCATCTGTCTGTGTGTGTGTCCAGTCCTCCGCAGTGTAAGAGCATTAGTTTGGAGCGAGGGCCTGACGGACTGGGCTTCAGTATCGTGGGTGGATTCGGCAGCCCTCACGGTGACCTTCCCATCTACGTCAAAACCGTCTTCAGCAAGGTAACGCTTTCACACAGCGAGTGTGTTCATCCACAGATGCCACCACACAGATAGAAACATTATTATCTGATGTGTGTGTGTTCAGGGGGCCGCGGCAGAGGACGGGCGTCTGAAGCGTGGGGATCAAGTCATCGCCGTTAACAGCCAGAGTCTGGAGGGAGTCACTCATGAGGAGGCCGTCTGTATTCTGAAGAAAACCAAAGGAACCGTCACACTCACTGTGCTGTCATGAACACACACAGGTCCTGCAGTTGTTTCAAACACTGCGAATGAGAGCATTGTTTACTGCTAGTTTGTGGAGGAACCAGCAGACTACTACAATCTGCCGTACTACGCTGAGAGTGTAGAAACGATCCACACACATGCATTTGGGCTTTAAAATGCTGAAAGTGCACACAGCTGCGTGACACAACATGTTATAATGTACTTTCCCATCATTTGATCATTAGAAAATGCACAAATATCTCTTTCCTGTTACGTTAAAAAACTGGGTGAGCTCCATTGGTTTCCATGCAATTTGCCAAAAACTGTGTAAAACACTAAAAATGAATGTAAAAACAGAGAACTTCTATTTTAGCTGATCAGAGACTAAAAATTTGTGAGAAATGTAAAAATTCCCATCTATTTCTATTGTGTTGTCCAAAATGAGCTAAAAATATATACGTACACTGTAAAAAAATTCCATAAAATTTACGGTAAAAAAACGGCAG